GATATTGTCCAAGTTTAACCTTCAGGATGGATATAGCTCGCTAGCAGCCTCGCACCGAGGACCTATCCACGTCATCATTTACCCAGAATGCTTTGTGTGCAAATAAAATGGCTCCGTCCATGTTAAAATATATTTTTAAAAATGTACAAAACTAAACATCCTCCAGTATTTTACAGTCTTTATTTTACAGTTAAAATAAATGTTTATCAAATAAAGTTTAATGTTACAACTAATCAGGGATCCCTTTAATCGTTGATCCCAATCACCTGTGACTTCCCCTTTTAAAGCCGTCCACACACTCTGTAGTGTCGTTCGTTCACTTGATGGCTAGTCCCAAGCTGATCAGCTGCCTTCCTAAACCTGTGCGTTCAAACTCCTAAAACGAGGCATTTAAACCGTCTGTGGGATAAAGTTTTCTTAATCGTGGAGTAAAAGGAGTAAGCTGAAGCTGAACCAACCAAACAAACAAACCAAAAGTCTGCTGGAACTGACGCTGTCAAAAGCTTCGTCTTGTCACSTCTTTCCTCACAGCAGTTATCTCTCGATGCCAAAACAAATTTAAGTCTCTAACGAAAAACTAAACTTAAAACTAATGTTTAAATAACTAAAAAGCTAAAGAGAATGAATTAATTTGCTTTCTCCTAGTGAGTCAAAAACTAAAACGCCCAGCTGCATAAAAAAACCACACTCAACACAAAAGGAAAAGTAAGTTTGTTTCTTTTTGTTCAGTCAAAAGAAACTTGTTTATGTCAATTAATTGTTCCTACTTTGTGTGTGTTTTTTTAGCTCCCGGATGTTTTTTTTTTTTTGTGAGTGAAGTTTTTGTGTATGAGTATTTTTTTATATGAGTGGTTTTTCCTGTTAAGACAGTAGTTTTATTTTGTGTATTGGAGTCTGACTACCCTGCAACCTGCATCCAACCGTTGACTTGTTGAGCCAGGTCAAGACAAGCCTCATTTTTTGTAAAGTCTTCAAATTGAGCTCGTAAGCCAAGCCATTTATTTTCTTTGCTTGTGGAAGCCAAGCTGGAAACTTGTATTTTTCTGAAATTGGTTTATTGTTTTGAAGAAATTTATAGTTATTAGAGGTTAGTACTGATGTTAAAAGCACAACACTATATTTTTAGGTTTTCCTTTTCATAATGTTTAATCTATTATGTGTTGATTGATATAGATTAGGTACATGTCCGAAATATCTATAACAACACATATTTATCCGTTATGAGAACAATAGGTGAGAATTGTGTCTGAATGCCTGTGATTCAGCCGTAGGTCAGTAGGGGGCGAACGCGGGCATTGAAGACTCTGTATAAATGGATCAACTTCCTGGTTTCCTGTCAGCACCGGTGACAATAAACCCCCACTCCAGAATTCTGGTTTTGTATGGTTTTATTCCGTCTAAAAATCATATTATTTAACATTAGTGGTTTTATATTGACTTCAGTCTTTGAACACGAATATTTCTTACAGTTTGCATTATTTGAATTGTTGTATTTTTCTAATTTTTTGTAAAAAATATATTTTAAAAGAAATTCTAGCCCTTGTTTGTGCTCACTTTATTTAATATATTTGCTTTGTCACTTAGTATTTAGTTAAGTTGAACAGGGTATACTGTTATATTTTTCTTATAATCTGTATGTCCTGGTGTACGGTAAAATTTAACTAATTTTAAACCATATTTTATATACAGTATATATACAGTATATATACAGTATATATATATTTAATATGAAAACAGTTAAATCTTAATCGTGTCCAAAATATCCCATATGTCAGGAGGGAGACCTGGCTGGCGCCCAACGTAAATATTCAAACTAACAGCAATAAAATCCTCAAAATATCGGTACCGTTACTACGTGCCAGGACACCGCACAGCCAGGGGAACAGGGACAGTGTGATTGCATTGATGCATGCACCCTCGCACCGTGTTCAACACATCAGGTAACCAGGCTTCAATATCATATCCAGGAGACGTCTGTCAATTTCAGCAAAATCTCAGGCTTCAGTTATCCTGTGCAAATGTGCCA